CTCGCCCCCGTACTGACAGGTATCCCGACGTCCAGGCCAACAACATCCGCGGCCAGTGGAAGCGCGCCTTCTGTTCTGCCACGCTCGTCGGCTTCGGATCCCTCGGCGGCATCGTCGGCAGCACCGTATTCCGCGCCCAGGACCGGCCCGGCTACCGCCCCGGGATCGTCACCACCATCGCCAGCCAGGGCGTGATCATCCTCCTGGTGGCCATCCTGTCCCTCGACATCCGGCGGCAGAACGCCAAGGCGGACCGGGGCGAGAAGGTCCTGGAGGAGGGCGACGCCAGCTTTAGATATACCTTTTAGCTGCTGCTCCTGTCGGTTTCGTGCTTGGGATGGCGTTGTTGATGGGATGGGGTGGGATGGGAGATTCACGACTGATGCGTGTATTTCGTCGACGATGATTGCGTAGCTTAGTTCCTTGTATAATGTATCGCCGTTCAAGACAGGGTAGACGGCGGACGACGATCTTACCGACCGGATCGGGAAAAGCCCGGAATATGAAAATCGCTGGAATGTCTCTGTTTTCTTGCTGCCTGGCTGCCTATCTTCCCCAAGTATCCACCCTAGGTTTCTCTTCTCTCCCCTTCCTTTCCCAGCTCCTCGAAGTCCACTTCAAAATCAAATCATGCAAAGCAACTAACTATTCCCTCACGCACTTATCCAGCCAACCTCACCTCCCCCTCCAACCCCCCCTTCTCCTTTTTCCCTCGCTTCCCCCCTCGCTTAGCACCCACTGGTCGTAACTCCACTCACAATACAATAAGTGCCATCGGCACCACTCCCCGTCTGCGGCGGCTCGTCCCCGACGCTGTTCCCGGTGTACTTGTAGCACAGGTCGGTGTCGAGCACGCACGAGTTGGTGATGGTGACCTTGTCGCCGTAGTTGGTGTTGATGCCGGCGACGGCGCCCCCGCCCGACAGGTGCACGTTCGTGAAGGTCGACGTGCGCTTGTACTGCGTGTCGCAGTTGCCGCACGAGCGGTACAGCTTGCCGAAGGTGTCGGCGTAGAAGTTCTTGACCGCGAGCGTGCCGCCTGGGGGGGAGGACGTGTGAGAGGCTTGTTCCTTCCTTCCTTCCTTCCCTCCCTCACGTGCGCGCGGGTGCGGAATCACTTACCGCCGTTGTGCTGCAGGACCTTGTCCGATGCCGACCGCGCGCCGCCGCCGTTGATGTACGAGGTGCCCGCGCTCGCCTTGAAGGTCGCTGCGTCCTCGCAGACGTCGACCCACCAGACGTTGTTCAGCGTGCAGGCGCCCAGGCAGTGGACGCCTTCGCCGTTGTTCGGGCCGATGATGACGTTCGAGAGGACGGAGCCGGCGAGCAGCACGAAGACGGCGTCGGCGTCGCCGCCTTCGGCTTGGCTGTTGCAGGTTGATACTGGGTGTTGATGAGAGGAGAAAGAAGAATCTGAGAGAGAGAGAGAGGTGATGCAAAGAAGGGAGGACAACGTACCGCTTCGATCAAACTTCTTCATCCCACCGTCAAAGGTCGCGCCAGCCGCGATGGTCTTTGCAGCCGCCAGAGCAGAGGTACCCGTGGAAGCCGGGAACACAGTCTGCAGATTGGTGTTGGTAGCTCGGGCTTCGAGGACGGCTCCATCTGCCCGAGTGGCTGCCAGTACCGCGGCGACGAAGAGCTGTTGGGTGAGGAGCATGTTGGTTTGCTTGTGGGTAACTTGTTCGTCTGTCTATCTGCGGTAGGTGAGCTCTGAGGAGATGGTCGTCAGAAGTCTGATGGATGTTGAATCAGAAACCTCATTCTCGCTGTGATATCACCCTCCCTCTCTTCTTATACTACTTACTGACTGTACAATGACAGCATCAGCAGCAGCAATTGCAAACGAACCAGGCCCGCTCAGTCATCTATGAACGGAGGAATCGATTTCCAGTCCATCTTGGCAACGCCCCAACTTCTGTAAACATCTACATCGCATATTGTCGAGAGAGACTACCAAGGTTGGACCCGCCGCTTGGCGAGGCTTCTGCTCGCCTGCTTGCCTGCCTCCTGGAGGGACGCCATCTCGCGATGCGTTTCCGTCTTGGCTGCACATTCTTCCGGTTGCTATGTATACAGCCTGCTGAGAAGGACGAAGCCATCTGAATTCCTCCAATTGTGGAAAAGTCTGAGGCGGCAACGCGCAAGATGGAAAAGGGGCGAGGGGACGGGATGCCGGGGTCGAGCGGCGGTGATTGGTGGATTGTCAAGGATAGCTGAGGAACGGATGGCCGGCGCGATGGCCAACTCAGGATCGAATGTATGTAGTGCGACCCTGTCGCTGGTTCGTTGTGTAATATAAATTATTCGGCTCTGGTGGTGTCGCCTAGACCGTGCGACGGAGTGCTAGATTCCGACGCGGAATGTAGAGATAGACAGACCTGGTTTGTGTGTTAGTATTTTCATTGATTGAGATCTAGCTGCGATGCAGATTGCTGAAATAAAATTGAAATAGAAGCATCTATTGAGAGATATAGGACTTCCTGCCGTTCGTGATGACACACGCCTCCGTACTCCAACCAGTCCAGCCACTCGGTTAAATCAAAACAATATACCATCTTCACTTCAAAGTTCTCGACGACTTGTCAAATTTGACTTGTGTATTTCAATTCCTGACACTATTGATTTAAAAAAATTTCATTTATATGACGGTAGATAATACTTGGTTGGATATTTGCAGCTCGGTATTGTAGAGTGAAGTTTCCGAAACGAAGGATACGACATAAGGATGTGCTCGCTTCCTGCTCGCTTACCTGCATTCGGGTTGGATCATAGTCGAGTTAATGGTAATCGAGAGACTACAAAAACAAACGGGAGAAATAGGGAATGAAGAGCAGAATTAAGAACGGGTGCTCAGACTTATACGTATATGTGGAGAGGGGAGGAGAGGGGAGAGACGACCCTAAGAGTCGAGATGCCAGAGTCTGCGCAGTCTCTCGGCCTAAGCGGGATTGTCTTTTTTTTTTCAATAACAAGCTTACTATCGAAAAGAACATCATCTTTCGTGTTAAGAATGAGAAGCGAAAGCAATTCGGATGTTACTTTCTGTCTTTGTAGGGCGTCACTTGAGCTTTCAGGCTCTGGGAAGTCATGAACGGGGTAAGCTCTTCTGTTTATTTATATGCACGGAGGAGATGGCGGCTTTATCTTCAAATTGTGACTTCATCAATACCCCTTTTCATTAGCGAGAAGAAGGAAATTCGGTTGTCCAGTTGTAGAATTCCGTTCCTGCTGCCACTTGATCTACCGACTCCTGTATTGCGCGACTGCTTGTGGGATCAAACATATCCCGGATAAGAGCTACACCCGAACACTGTAAGTATTGACATTGCGATCGGGGGTTCAGAATATCCGGTTGAATCCGTTGTCGAGGTGTTGCGACTGGGTCACATGGTTTCGTGTCTGATAAGGACGCCATCGATAATCTCCCCCTCTCCAACCTTCATCCCTTCCAAGCCGGCCACAAACCTCCAAACCTCCCAAACACCCGCAAATTGCAAACCGCAAACTGAGATACTAGAATTTATGCACAGAAAATTCCCAATGGCCGGCCGCAAACGCAAAGCAACGAGCACCCTGCCTCCCCAACCCGCCCCCTCGCGCCGCCAGTCCGGACGCGCAAAGAAAGCGCGAGTCGTCTACGCCGAATCCGACGCTGAGGACGCATCCGCATCGGACGACTTTCACGCTGCGGAATCCGAGTCCGAAGCCGACATATCTGGCGCCGAAATCGACGAGCCCGAAGAAGAGGAGGACGGCGGCGGCAGCGGGGAGAGCGAAGTCGAGGTCGCAAAGAAGACGACGGCAAAGGGATGGAGGAAAACGGTGCTTGCGGACGGGCGCACACGCATGGAGATTGATCTGCCGATTGCGAAGGACGCGGGGGACACGCCGTACGAGGATGGGCGGCTGCATCCGAATACGCTGGCCTTCCTGGGGGAGCTGAAGAGGAATAATAGGAGGGAGTGGTTGAAGTTCAACGATGTCGTGTTTCGGTCCGGCCTCTTTTCCTTTTCTTTTTCTTTCTCCCTACTCTCTCTTCTCGGCTGAGCGAAATCAAATGCTGATTGATGTGTCTGGAGGAAATGTAGGCAGGCAGAGAAAGACTTTCAGTCTTTCGTCACCGAGTTATCGTCTGTTATCTGCGAGATAGATCCTACGATCCCCGAACTCCCTGTTAAAGATATCATCTACCGCATCCACCGCGACATGCGCTTTACGACTGATCCGACGCCGTACAAATCATATTTCTCTGTTGCGTGGTCCCGAGCTGGGAGGAAGGGGCCGTACGCGCATTACTATCTGCATGTCCAGCCTGGAGGGGAGAGTTTCATGGGCGGTGGGTATTTTGGGTGCGATGCTGAGACTTTGGCGTGCTTGAGAGAGGACATTGATACGCAGCCGCATCAACTCAAGTCTATACTCATGGAGGAGAAGTTGCGGACGACGTTTTTCCCGAAAGTCAAGGCGGAGGAGGGGAAGATTGTGAAGGCGTTTTGTGAGGGGAGTAAGAGGGATGCTTTGAAGAAGAAGCCGAAGGTATGTTCATCCAATACCTGCTGACTTCAAATTTGTCACTGATTTGGTCAAGGGGTTTGATGCGGATCATAATGACATTGAGCTCTTAAAGCTGCGGAATTTCGTCTTGACCAAGAAGCTGTCTGATGCAGATATTGTGGGCAAGGACTCATTGAAAGTTATTGGTGATATCATGGAAGCGATCGAGCCTTTTGTAAGTCGCACACAAATACCCGGAGACCGATAATATACTCATCCGACACGCAGATTACGTACCTGAACCATACGGTGATGCCTGACAGGAGCTGAACGAAGCGCTTTGCCGATATGGTTGATTATGCACATCGTTCCTCGACCCTTTTGACAACTTCATGGCTACGAATTTTCTTCTTCGGCTCTCTCTCACCCGCCCCTTGACCTGCCCTTCCTCTTCAGAGTTCGAGTATTGCTGATGCTAACTCGCGCTATGAAGCGATAGCAAAGAGAATATGTATTGCAGACACAATGACCTCCTCGGGCATTCGCTCTGGCAACCCCAAGGTATATTTTTGAAGAGACTTTCTCCGCCAGTTTTTGTTGGTATCTGATTTTAAAGGGTCTATTTATATTCGTTTCAGACCCCTTAGCGAGGTACACCGCCAAGCTGGTGAAGCATGTTGGAAACTATATATATACAACCTGCCAACCACCGAAGGCCGTGCAGGCTTCTTCTTCAAGGATATCCAGGGACCAGGACCTTGTGAGATGTACTACTATTGTCCTGGCTCAGATCCGTGGCCAACACAACACAACTCGACGCGCACACAGCAACAATTGGTTTCTATCTTCCCGATCTGTTATTCTCCCGGATCACATCAATACATTCCATCCAGCCGCGGCTCCGAGCTCGAGCTGTCTGAGGTGCGCGGGCTATTTCTTGCCACAGCAGGCCGGCCGGTCGAGGCTCTGCTGCCATGCATGTCCGGGGTGGCCGCCCCTGGATTAAGATAACGCCAACTCCACGTGTGGATCTGAGCTCTTCTTCATCCTCTACCCACGGTACAGGCGTAATTGTTACACCCCTTGAGGCTTAAGGGTGGCTCCAAAGTTTAAATTTTCACTTTGAACCCCCTGGTTACCCTACCCTCAAGGGTGTAACAACTGCGCCTATACCGTGGTACTATATTTCTGCAACGTCCTCTTGGTTCAACGCTATCACGATCCATTCCGTCCTGCAATTCGTCATGTAATCAAACGGGAATCTTGGTAAAGCTTCGAGAGAGAGAGAGAGAGTGGGGGTACGAGTTGCATAAGTTAGGAGCTCCTCGTCCGGCGAAGGGCGGAGCTGGATGTGAGCATCCCTCGACTCCCTCTCCGGTCCCTTCACCGTCGTCCCTTCGCCGTCCAAATGCGCACCTCAGTCCTCCTATCGGCCCTGGCTATCGGCATTGCTTCAGCAGCTCCAACGGCTCCAGTTGCACCCGATAGCCGCTATGAGAAATTTGCCGTCCAGGTCGGAGACCGTCCGTATTTCTTGGTTGATAATATGGACGAGGGGCCGCTGAAGAGCAAGCTGCAGAGCTGCAAGAATCAAGAGTCCAGGATCAGCAAGTTTGCCATCGGCCACCGTGGCGCGCCTCTCATGTATCCAGAGCATACAGCGCAGTCGTACCACGCTGCGGCCCGACAAGGTGCTGGAGCTATCGAATGCGATGTTGCATTCACGAAGGATAAACAGCTCGTGTGTCGACACGATCAGTAAGTTCCAGCTCAGCGCGCGTCCCAAAATGAAGAGGGGTGGCTGGCTAATGCCGATGCAGATGCGATCTTCACACAACAACCAACATCCTCACGGTTCCCGAACTCGCTGCAAAATGCACTACGCCCTTCACACCCTACGATCCTGTAACCGGTACCCAGGCCACAGTCAAGTGCTGCACATCCGACTTCACGCTTGCGGAATTCAAGACCCTCTGCGGAAAGATGGACGGCTTCAATCCCAACGGCACCACCGTCGCCACTTATATGGATGGCACGGCTTCTTTCCGCACCGACCTCTACTCAACATGCGGCACTCTCATGACGCACAAAGAAAGCATCGCTCTCATCGACTCCTACGGCCGCGACTTCACGCCCGAGCTCAAGACGCCCGGCGTCCCGATGCCCTTCGACGGCTACACGCAGGAGCAGTACGCCCAGGACATGATCAACGAGTACAAAGCGGCCGGCATCGACCCCAGCCGCGTGTGGCCTCAATCCTTCCTCCCCGCCGACATCTTCTACTGGATCCAGGCCGAGCCCGCATTCGGCCGACAAGCCGTGTACCTCGACGAGCGCGTCGATACGCCCGCCGGCTACGAGAACGCCACGGCGTCCATCCCGGCCCTCGCCCAGGCCGGCGTGAAAGTCCTCGCGCCGGCCTTCTTCGCCCTGACCAAGCTCGACGCCAACGGGACCATCGTGCCGTCCGAGTACGCTATCGCGGCCAAGGCGGCCGGTATGCAGATCATCGGGTGGAGCTTCGAGCGCTCCGGCTTCCTGAACACGGGCGGCGGCTACTACTACGACTACGTGAGCGAGGTCATCAACAACGACGGGGACATGTATACTGTGCTGGACGTGTTAGTGAAGGAGGTAGGCATGCTGAAGATCTTTTCGGACTGGCCGGCGACGGTTGTCTATTATGCGAACTGTATGGGGTTGGCGTAGTTGCAGGCCTGCAGGATGCGCAGAGGAGGGCCGTTGGTGCTTACTAGCTCGACTTGAATAATGAATAGTACCTAATGCTCTACCGGTATTTTGCACTTCCCGTACTCGAGTCACCAGGGAAGAGTCCACCTTTCGACCGGGGTATTTTGGTGCTTGTCATCAAAAGAGACCACTGGGAGATTACCTGCTGCCCGTACCACCGTCTCTTTCGATACCAACAACCGAAAATTCTTCTATGCTCACCAGCGGCCGAGAAAACAAATCCACCGCGCTCCACTTTCCTTATCTTTTCACACTTGTGCCGTTTTCGCCTTTGTGCACAGTCTCAAGCCGGAATACATCTGTGCGGCGGTTTCTTCTCTGGCTAGGTATCCAGCTGCGAAGGCTTCTGGCCCCTTGATCGCGGGTGATAGTTTTGTGGGAAGTAGGCAGGTGGGTAAATACCGTAGATCGGAGGCGTGAAAGAGAGCTGCATGTTCTGGCCCATGGCATCGCAGGAAGCGAAGCGCTCGCAATGCAGCCAACGGCACGCCCATCGTGTTGGCGTTGGCGATAAGAAGCAGCCGAAAGGATGTTGCAATGGCCTGAGGCGATAGGGCACGCTAGGCACACGTGCGCGCTAGGGGGGGGTACAGAGATTTCTCCTACTAAGGAGATACCGGTAGGTATTATGATACGAGAACAAGGTCTGCGAAATACTAAGGGCTAGGTTTGAATGGTATAGGAAGAATACCGGTAGAAGAGATACGAAGGTACTATTATAAGAGGAGATCAGTTCATTGTAGGGGGGTCGGTGCGTTCCTTAGTATCGGTACATCCATATCAACCTGATGTGACGACCTTAAGCGATTACCGGCGGAACTCACGGGAGCGCGAGGGATCATATGGAGCTCAGGAAGATCTCAAGGTAATCACTTAGGACGACAAGCTCCCGATTGCCGAAGTTGAAGGAAGCTGAGGTTTATATACACGAAGGTGAGGAGCGCCAAGGACTCGTAAAACATGGTTCACGGGTGAAAAGAGGAGAACGAGAAAAGTAAGAGAATATGAGAAGGAAAAGAAGGAAGTAGCTTGGCGCACGGGAGGACAGGCCCAGGAGATCTGGCGTGTCCTTACACTTAAGGTATTTAGTAATAGTTGGGAGTGATATGGCCAATTCGGGTATCTTAGGCATGTGAGGGGAGGAAATAAACAATTCGGCCACGGAATGCCAAGGCTGCGGAACGTACGGACCTCCACAACGGACTTATCTCCTGTATCTTTACTTGGAGTATCTGTGATGGCCTGAGGCTACTAGGCCTCTTGGGCGCATGTGCGCGCTAAGGGAGTACATAGACTTTTCCCACCAAGGAGAACTTAGTCAAAGCGAGCTTGCGGAGCTTTGTATTTCCGGAAAGCTCCTTCCCTTATAAGAAGGAATGTGGCCTCATAAAAAAATGCAAATAATCTCTTTTAACGAATGGAATTGATTGGTCAGTTAAAAAGTGCGCGTGGCAACGAAGGGCAAAATCCTAAAGCAGACAACGTGATTAAAGTACCGGTACCTACTAACAATTGAAGACTAGAGATATACTATTATTTCGAACTTTAAATCATTCAAATAAACACGCCTTTTTAAATTTTATGAACTCTTAATTGCGCGTATATACTACCTACGTACCTTGGTAAGTGCACTCCCAAGCTCGCTTTGATGCTACGTAAGCTGCTTGCCATTTACGTCAACTTACTTGATATATTTACACCAGCTCCCTCCTCCCCCGTTATTAAAGTGGCGTTTAACGCAAGGACCGAACTACATCTCTGATTCGCAGTCAAGAAACAATATAAGCAATACCAGAATACCAATAATACTAGCAATATTAATACTCATCTTGTGACGATACGCTAGGTCTCTTAGGCGTATTCTTATATGCGCCAAGTTACTTCCTTCTTTTTTCTTTTCTTTTATTCTTTCACGTCTTCCGTTCCCTTCTTTTGACCTATGAACTGCGGTTGAGGAATCCTTGGCGCTTTCTACTTTCGTATATATAGACTTTAGCTTCCTTTAACCTTTATACTCGGTATTTATTGATTTTAAGTTATTACTTTGAGATCTTCTTGAGCTTTTATATAAACCTTAGCTTCTTACAACTTTTACACTCGGTATTTATTAATATTGGATCGCCGGTAGCGATCTATTCGTCATATTCGTGACTTCGTCAAGGTACTTGCCATTGCAAAACACTCGGTAGTAAAAGTGTCTGAATTCTGTATGCTCCCCAGAACTCAAGGGAGCTGACTCCTTCTATATAGTTGGAAGGAATCACGTACACTAGCTAACTAGTAGGTTTTATAGCCAAGTTGGGGTCCCTGAACCTCGTGATATGCTAAGCGAAGCACACGTAAACCATGGTTCACGGGTAAGGTTGGCTACATTATCCTTAACTAATTACTTGATAGAATCAGGAATACAGAAGGTGTAGATTCAGGTATAAGAGTACTGTCGGTTCCTCATTCATTGAACTATGAGTCAATGACTTGGTCGTTAAGGAACTACGAGTCAAAGGGGTGGGGATCGATTGATTATCTACCTTGGTAATTACCTTTTTGGTATTTTCCGAGCTACGCGAAGAAGATACCTTAGCGGTGTTATCTCGAAGCCTTAACTTCCGTTATACAGCCCTTTCGGAGCTATAACTTTCGAGATTTATTCACCTTTTAATTTAATTGATAAGAATTTATTTACTTTATGTTGGATCGCCGGTAGCGATCTCTTCGTCACATTCGTAAAATTCGTGACGTCGTCAAAGCTCTTGCAATTGCAATTCACTCGGTAGTAAAGTATTCAATTCTTGTGTTGCTCCCTTAAGTTCAAGGGAGCTGATTCCTTTTATACAATTAAAAGGAATTGTCGGTATATCTATATCGACCTTACCTAGCTAGTAGTAGTAGTTGGGGGAGTTCATCCGTGAACTATAGTTTACGGGTTACTTGGCATGCCTCGCTTAGCATGTCACAGCTTAAGGGACCCTTAAATTGAGTATAAAACCTAATAGGCAGCTAGTATACGTGATTCCTTCTAATTATATAAAAAGAGTCAGCTCCCTTGCACAAAAAGCTAAAAAAAATACGATTTTAAATATAATTTTCAAATGAAAATGCTCCTCGTCAAAGAGCTAGTATAAGTAAGTCGCTTTTATCAAATTTATATTCGAACTCGGAATATTATGTAGCCGCTCGCTAAGAAGGAGCAAGTTCGAATTCGCGTAGTATTTATTAAGTGAATATTTAATAACTTCGCGAATAAAAAATTAAAAACCTTTTAAACTCTTGCCCTTTTCTTAAAAAATTGTAGCTTTTTGAGCTTAGATTATTGATTCAAAAAGAATCAATTAGAAGGAATAAGCAAAATACAGCTTGACTACAAATTGATTTAAAAAATAAAAAATAAAAATTATTTTTATTATTTTTTAAGAATAATCAAAATGCTCTTTGAACGGGACGTCTTACTGATATTATAATTAAACGATCTTATTAATCTTATATTGGAACTATTATAAAAGCGTTATAAGAAGATATGGTGACAGAGGGCGTATACCTAGGTAAGTGGAGCAGATTAAGGTCTAAAAGATGGCGATAGAAGTGTCTGGTCTATTTAAAGGAGCACGGGAGCAACTGTAGATATATACATGTGTAGTACGTAGCCTTTAAGGAGCTTGGCAAGCACGTGCAAAGGAGCACGTGCTAGGCCACGTAAAGAGCACGTAAGGCAAGGACTATATTGTGCAATACACCCTTTAGTTGCGAAGCGATTGCTCAACTAATAAAAGGCTCGCTTAAAGAAAAAAGGAAAAAACAAACGAAAAAACCTAAGGAAAATCTAGTTAAAAGATGAACGGAGCGTATAAGCTCTTAAATAAAAGGCAGACGAAATAGGAGCACGTCAGCGCTAGTAAGCTGCAACGAGCTTTTTTAAGCGGCAACAGCTAATAATCTTTAAAGCAAGGTGCAAGGTAGGTCCGCTTGCCGTCGCAAAGATTCGCTAATTTAAACCTCTACTTCTTAAGAGCGACTTAAAACAAAAGAGCTTGTAGTTAAGGCAAGCGTTCCAATTCCTTATACTACACCTTCCTTTCGCAAGCTCTAAACACGGTTTCCAAGCTTTAATAAGCTTTTAGCAGCGCTAAAGCTACGGCCTAATTCACTCTTCCGGCGTACGCAAGCGGCTTTAATCCCTTATAGACTTGCTTCTAGGTGGCCTTTCCTAAGCAGCTATACTTTCAAGGTATTTGGACCTGCTTTCGCTAATAGAAGCTTTATTCTCCTTTTATAAGAGCTCTAAGCTCGCTTTTAGCTTTTCGTAGCTAAGCATAGAGAATCGCTCTTTAATAGCTTGAAGCTTCGGCTCCGATACTATAAGATTCTTAAGGTTTTAACTAATAAAAGCAAGTTTTAATAAGTCGCAAGAAGAAGGCTGCTAAAAGTGAATACGCATATAAAAGCAAACCTTTCTTTTCGAAAGCTCGCCGAGTATAGCGAATACACTTTCGCGAGCTCTTTTTTACTATAAATGCTTTTCAAATATCTTTGCGTAATCTTTTAAGCTTTTCAACTTAAAAGCTTCTTTTATACTAATAGCGTCGACCATAAGACTTAAATAGCGATTGCTTTAAGCAAAGTCTAATCTTTAAGCAATTACTCTTAAGAAATCCTTTATAGCAAAAGAACCGATAACATCTTGCAATTCGAGCTTTAAAGCGATAGCTTTAAAGTGCACGAGCTTTTAATTTCGAATCTATTGCTAAGGTTTAATAGTCCTCGCAGCTCCTTCGTTAAAAATTCGACGATATTCGTCTCGCATATGCTCTTTCGTTGATTCGTCGTCTTCCGCGTATTAATCTCGTAAAGACTTTATTAGCGTTTAAAATGAAAACTCTTTTTTTTTAATTAAACGAATCTTATAAAACTATAGCAGCTCTTTTAAGACCGTTTGATTTACTTATTCTAGCATATACTAGTATTTAAAGTTCAAAGCGCTTTAACGCGCCTTTTTTTTAAAGTACTTTTTCGACCGATATATAAACTTTTTTTTAACGTCTTAGAAACTCGCACCTTTTAGCATTAAGCGGTCCTTACGAGTAGTTAAAAGCGCTTCTTTTTATTCTTTTATAAAATTATCCTTTCGCTCGTTCTCTTTAACGATTAAATCTTTAATCGTAAGTAATGCCGGCGGTTTTAAAAAAGAGATATAAAGCTAAGTTTCTTTCGAATAAAAGTCTGCAAGCTTTTAAACGCCTTTTATTATCGCAATAGCTTTATAATCGATAAACCAATCGACTTATGACGCTCGATTCGTAAAGTATTAAGCGCTTTAAAGTAATATATCGTAATAGCTCAAAGTAAAGTGTAAATAAAATAAAATGAAGTTTAAAAAGCTTTTATTAGACGCTTTAAGCGTCAAAAAGGAAAACAACTTCTATCGACGGAAAAAAAAAAAGACGATAATCTTGCAACCACCGATAAGGCGATCTATACCGTATTAATAATAATTAAAAAGGAGCTCGTAAAAGCGTATGGCTCTTAACTATAATAATAAAGGGCGTATACCTAAGTAAATGGAGTAGATCAAGGTCTAAGAGATAGCGATAAAAGTATCTGGTCTATTTAAAGGAGCACGAAAGCAATTGTAAATATATATATATATAGTACGTAGCTTTTAAAGAGCTTGGCAGGCACGTGCAAAGGAGCACGTGCTAGGCCACGTAAGGAGCACGTGAGGCAAGGACCAAACTGTGCAACAGAAGAGGCAAATGAAAAGCAGCTATTTTTTATTAAAAGAACCTGAAAAAATGCGATTTTAAATACAATTTTCAAGTAGAAATGCTCTTCGTCAAGGAGCTAGTATAAGTAACTTGCTTTTATTAAATTTATATTCGAATTCGGAAGAATATATAGCCACTCGCTAAGAAGGAGCAAATTTGAATTCGCGTAGTATTTATTAGGTGCATATTTATTAATTTATCGAATGAGAAAATAAAAATCTCTTATGCTTTTGCTTCTTTTAAATAAAGCTAAAGCCTTTTGAGCTTTTTTTTTGATTCGAAACAAATCAATTAAAAGGAATAAGCAAATTACAGCTTTGTTACGAATTGATGTACAAAATCAAAAAATCAAATATTAATTTTATTATTTATTAAGGAAAATCAAAATGCTCTTCGAATAGCTCGCCCTAGCAGTATTGTAATTAAACAAGCTTATTGATCTTATACTGGAACTTTTATAAAAGCGTTATAAGAAAGAGCAAATGAAAAGCAGATATTTTTTTTAAAAAAAAACCCGAAAAATACGATTTTAAAAACAATTTTCAAGTCAAAATCCTCCTCGTCAAGGAGCTAGTATAAGTAACTTGCTTTTATTAAATTTATATTCGAACTCAGAATATTATATAGCCGCTCGCTTAAAAGGAGCAAATTCAAATCCGCGTGGTATTTATTAAGTGAATATTTAATAATTCAATTAATATAAAAGTATAAATCTATAATTATATTGCCTTTTACTAATCAAGCTATATATTTCTAAGTTTTAAATGTTAATTCGAAAAGAATCACTTAAAAGGAATAAGCTAAATACAGCTTGACTACGAATCGATATAAAAAATTAAAAAATCAAAAATTATTTATTATGTTTTTTAAAAAAAATCAAAATGCTTCTCGAATAGCTCGCCCTAGCAGTATTATAATTAAACTAGTGTAGAAGCACCCCAAAAGATGTACTGTATAGAAGCCTGGCTCTGAGGCTAGACCTCATAGTCTCACAAAAGAGGTGTCAGAAAAGGTGGGTGGAAAGCTCGTTGATTGTTCTAGCTAGGAGATGTGTGCCCTTTTATAGAAGATGGGTCCGTCTAGTGTGGCCTTAATGGCCATGGCAGGTACCTCATCAGGCAGGGTGTTTACATCCGTCCTCTCATAGAATAGGTAAGCGCCCCCGCTTACCATCAAGCAAGAAGAAGAAAAAAAGGGGGTGTAGCAGAAAGAAAAAAATCTAGTGTACAAAGGGGGGGGTATCTTGTCTCCAAACTCCAAACATCTAAACTACGCCTCGGCAGCTTCCTCATGGTCTCTTTCCGTGCTTACGTCCTTAACTCTTTCGTTTTCCTTAGGCTGGGAGGGTCTTCTTCTCTTAGCAGGGCCAGCATTGGACGATGACGTGCTAGTAGCAGCATCCTTAAGGGTGAAGGAGCGCGTGTCGTTCTTGCGCTTGTTGGTAGCCTCGTTGATAGGTGTGAACTTGGCCGACGGAGGGTCAGCGAGGCCAGAGTAGGGTCTAGAGCCACTGAGCTCGTCTTCGTCTTCGGGCAAGTCACTTAGGGCTTCTATAGCCTTATCGAATGCGCGGTCTGAAGATTCCGGCTGAGAAGATGATGCCTCAGGATCGTCGATTTGGCTCGTGAACCGTAGTTCACGAGTGGATTTCGCACTTTCTAGATTGATCTCTACACTTGAATCGGAGTCGTTAGAGAACAACTCAATCGGTCGCAAGCTCTTTTTAAAATCCTTTAACTTGTCGGCGTTTATAAGGTCGTTAGCTCGGCGGCTCTTGCCTTTGGAAAAGGACTTGGCTCCGTAAGTCTTGGCTTCCGCATCTAACACAATAGCAAATCCTTTTTTAAATGCCGAAAACAACTTCTTCTTATGCTTGATAAAGTGTTCTTAGAACTGGGTCCGGGACATAGCAAAGATAGCGGTCAATTCCTCTATTACTCGGGGTTCGTTTTAATCTATTTTTTCGATTAAGGCTTTTGATACGAAACTGACGTGGTCCAGCTAGATTGTGGCGGCGAAAGGCTGGCTTGATTCATTAATGACTCTCTACCGAAGGGTTAGCGGCATGCGTCTTAAGACGATCGTGCAAGCGTACTTTGTAAAGCTGACTCTATTTTTTAAAGTGCTATCGTTTAGCAAAGCGGTATAGTTGTTAAAGAAGATAGCCTATCCGCAAAAGGAATTCTAAAAAGCGTCTATGTCTAAGAAAACACTTTGTTTCGTAATGACGGACATAAAAGTGGCGAGATCTATAATTATAGCGAGAGGTTAGCGTAGCGCAATGTTCTTAAGAGCATTTAAGGTCTTCGACTTAGGTTCAAAAGCTTCTTATCGAGCGGTCTTTCTAAGGGTGGTGTCGTAAGTGTGGCTCTTAGGCCAAATAGCCAAGCTTCCGATCTGACTTTTCACGCCGTAAAGTACTAAGTGGTAGTTTAAAACTCTGTCTTCTACTCGTGAACTACGGTTCACGGGTCGTTTAGTATTAGCGTCGTGTTTGGTCGCAATCATTCGAGCACTATTGTTGCATTTAAAGAGCTGAAAGGGTTCCGGGTAAGCGATAAGCTTGTAGTTTCCGTTTCGGCGATTAAGCAAAGCGGCAAGGTACAGCTTATAATGGCTTCGGAGGATTTGCTAGGTCAGCGAGTGCATTATGTTAGAAAGTGCACTAGTCGGGGTTCTTTTTAAGTCACTAGTCCGAAAGTAGTAAAAGTACATCTGGATCTCTTTGTTCATGATGATAAAGAAGGTCTGGTTGCCGTGCTTGTTGTTTAAAAAGGAAGCTCTTAATATAAGCTAAACTTTCGTATAGCTACCCGCATCTAGAGTGTTAAGGGGGCTGTTCTTCCAGGCGGTGCTTATTAAGCTAGTGCTTTAGTTCAGCTTGTTGAAAGATATCGGCTTGGCTTTAAACTTAGAAGAGCTTAAGCTAGACATTCTCTTGGCTAAAGTATTGCCTTTGATCTTAGTAGCGAACATCGATTAGTTGCTCGGATGAAGCATAAAGTTGTTGAGGGCGTTAGTTTAGAAGGTGTCGGTATATCCATATCGACCTTAG